TTTTTTATAAACAATGAGCGACGGATAAAACCTTCATATTATTATTCAGNGAGGTGACCTTGATAACATATGTCAAAATTGTTGAGATCGGAAAATAGTCCGTATAACTGCATAATTACCTATATTTGTTTACAAACAATAAGTTTTCAACTCATAATTTCTGAAGACAAAGTTCTCTTTTTTTCTCTCTCTTTTCTAACAAACAAAATTTCAAATAAAACGAAGAATCCTCTATCGCAAATTGTAGTTTTATTTTTTTTTTTTTTTCAAATATTTTCATCTGAAAGCAAGCTCGAGACATCAAAGAAAACTTGAGATAAATATAGAAATGAAATATATATCCGTAAGACTTTACGAATTTTGTTCGACAAGCAAACATTCAAAGGAGACATTTTTTTTTTTTTTTTTAAGACACGCAAACGCGCCGCGTAAGGCGCGAAGTAATCGCGCCGGCAGGTTCATTCGTTGCGTTTATTAATAGACGACGAACACAAGACCGAGAGCGATTTTAGGGTGTGTCCATATGTACCATCGCGACACTTCTCTTCGTCGTTCATGTCTATGTCGGGACAGTTTCTCCAGAGTTCTGGTTTCCCACGACTTGAGCGACTGCATCCTTCCTCTCTTGACCGTCTCTCTTCTTGCACTGTTCACTTCCAATTCACTTCGAGACCGCGACGGTCAACATATGTGATAAAAAAAAAGGACTTCACGACTGAGACCTTGTTTGTTACAAGGGAACGGCCAAATAAACGACACAAAATGCGTATCGACACGCGAAAGTAACGAAACGTGTCTATCAGACTTCCGTTAAACATTGAAAAGAAAGAGAGTTCGCTTTTTCTCCTCTCTTTACAGAACAAAACAAAAAAAAAAAAAAAGCCAGAAAGCAACAGGCGATTCATTTGCCATAAAGTTGATTTTTAATCATTTCGAAATAAATATTACCAAATCGCAAACAATATTTTTTGTACAAACTAACTCCGGAGAATCCAGCAAAGCTGGCGATAAACTGTGGCAACGAGAACGTATTTTTGTCGTTCAAGAACAGCGAGCGCGAATTGCTCGCGCGCGAAAGACGCCGCGACGCCGACGACGCGAGTGCCACTGCGAGTGCCACGCGCGAGTAAACGCACTTCGCGTTGCGGTTCGAGAGGTGAGACACAAAGAAAAATGGGAAAGAAAAGGCATCTATACGTCTACGTGCGTATTGTCGACGGGCGCGAACCGTGTGAAAAATGAACGAACGCAACTTAATCCGCCGCGATGCGTGTCACTCGTCCCGTTCGGTTTCGCGGTGTCTCTCTCTCTTTCTCTCCCTCTCTCTTATATCGTGTATGCGGTTTTACTCTCGACACACGCGAGACTATTTTAAATGCATATGCACACGCACTCCAAGCTCTTTCTCTCGCAGCGGGTTGCCTTTCTGTATCCCGCGTGAAGAAATCATTCATACTGGGAATCGAAACGAGCGGTCGATCATTATTACAACAGAGAGACGGTTGTTTACGTCGAGATAAAACTCGTTACCGAGAGACTCTCTCTCTCTATCATATATTTTATCAATAATTCAACTTCATTCGCGTAATTATTTAAAATATGAAAATTACGTGCATTCTCGTTCGGTCCTCGTTCGAATCGTTAAAAACCAAAAGTTTTTTTTTATCAGACGTGCCGATGTTCTCGAAAATTTTTTTAAACAATTACGAAAGCGGCATAAAGCGCGACGTAATAATTATCCAAGCTGCTCGCTCGGGTCGCGGTTTCTATCTACACGCAACGTATTAATTTATTCGAGCGTTATCTCGAAATAAATGGATATTCGGGCGCCACGCCGATGCACATGCTGCACGCGCGGTGTCGAGTATTTACACGCGGCGGCAATTAAACGGCACTTCGTTGCCGTTCGAGAGCGCGATAAATGTGCCGCCACGTGGGAAACGATTTGCGTTGTAATACATGGTTTATCATCGGATATCGGTATATGTGTGTGTGTGTGTATATGTGTATGTTTACCCACGAGAAAAGTGAATTTAACAGCTTGTTTAATTTCTATTCGCGCCCACGAGTTCTGGATCGAGTGTGTTGCGCGGATTATTCTCGCGTATTTCACAATTTTTGCAGAACCGATGGTTAACAATGCCAATTTCCCATCTTTCGTTTCGATTCGCGGTTGCGATCGGGAAGCTGCTGAATTGGCTGAGTTTGAAAAAA